CAATGGCCCTTGCAACCTTTACGCAAAATGTCACAATTAGCCAATTGCACACTATTGAAACTAGGAAATTGATTTGGTTTTAGAAGTGGGATATTACTATACCACTGAAATCAAATTCTTATTATTCTACAAAAAAAACATATTGTTTGATACTTCAGGTATTCATGATAATGATTTTAATGTTATATGGAATCATTATTGTCTAACAGCAAATATTGTCCATTACCGACAAATAATACGCTAAATTAAATGCATAATAATGACTGAAAAACAAAATATGACAAAAAAATAAAAACGGACTAACCCCATCAGTCCTTGATTTCTAAGGTACTTCAAATTAAAGGAATTGTTACAAAATTTAATTACACTTCTCTATATTTTAATAACTAAATCTCTCTAAAACCTTTTTTGTATTATAACATTTAAAACAATTGATTGTCAGATGTTTATATATTTTCTGCTGTATTTTTTGGTGGTTTTAGTACAAATTGATTCAACGGCATACCTTCTCTTTAAATTACAGTAATTACCTTTTCCTAAGTGTAAGAACAATGGCTTTCGAAGTTTCGAACATGCAGAATATCAACTGAAAAAAAAAATAGAATTTTATTATGATAGAGAAGTTATTTTGACTGAGAACTAAATAGTTTTGTAAACTAAACACAACGGGTACGTCTTAGGAGCAGTAAATATAAAATAATTTTATGGTGTTATTTTGTTTCATAACTTTCAATGGATTCTTCCAAACGACACACTGTTCAATTTTATAATTTCATCAAGCACTATGTTCCACTTGAAGATGTCCCTTCAAAGGACCGAAACATGTAGTTTGGTTATCTGTTATTTGTATTCTTTTAACGTTTTACATTTATATTAATGTTTCCTAGATGGATTATTTGCTTTTATTCATATTCCTTTATTTATTTTACCTTGTGTATAATATTGTTTCTATTTTGGGTTTGCCTGTATTTGGCTCTTACATTTGATACCGTACTTATATATGTTTAGTTAATCTGTTTGTATAATACTTTTCATTATTATTGTATGTTTTATCATTGTTTGCCTGTTATTGGCTTCTTTCTGTTGGCAAACTCTTAAATAAATGAATTGAATTGAATTAAAATCTGGTTGCTTGGACGTTAAAAGTGTTCTATTATTTTACAGTACACATCAGAATACGTCGTTTCAAAATAATCAGATTACCTCTGAAATACTCTCTGCATAATATTAATGAAATCAGGGACTTCTGCCGAGTCAGGAGTGAAATCTTACAAGGATGTTGCATTAAGTGGCTTGCGCAGCAAGGAAGTTCCAGGTCAAATGGACTCTGATGGTTTTATTAGAGTTACTCACAAGAAGTCTTCTCAGGTAACACCAGCGGCCATCAAGCAGCGTTGTCAACCTCTGATTGGAGTGCGTAACTGTGACGCACTTCCAATTGTTTCTAAAAGGGAAAAGTCTAAGGCTCTTTTTGTTTCCCGCTTCAGTCCAGAGGTTACATCTGTTGATGTGGAAAGAGCACTTAAAGAGCAATTGAGTCTTAAGAGGTTGGTATGCACCAGACTTAAAGCTAAATTTGACTCATATGCGTCATTTCATGTTTTGGTTAACGAAGATGACTTTCCTTTAATTAATGCACACAACAGTGAACTTCAAAAATAACAAGGTGTTTCCTTTGTCATGAACACAAAACATAAAATGAAAAGCAGAAAGCACCCACAGAAATGGGGTTAGCATTTGACACTGATTTGAGATGGGTACAAGGAAGACGAGTAGATGCAGAATTGCAGCAACAACAAGAGGCCAAAATTGGGACTTTGACAACTTTCAGAATTCAGAACAGAAGTCCACAGACTTACTGGGCATGAGACAAGCCTGAGGAAAGTTACTTTATGACAGGCAATAAAAAGTCAAGTCCGACAGATAACAGCCCTTCCTGATCCGGTGTTGCTCTATAAGAAAGGGACCTTCTTTTGCTCTAACTTCAAATGCAAATTCTACAAGTCATATGTTAGCTACAGTTGAACACAACCTCCAATAATATGGTATAAAAAAACAGTAGTAGAGTGTTAAAGGGGAAGAGGCTATGCAAAGCTCGTGAAATATTGGCCACCTAATAACAGGACCTGCTCTCCAATAAACAAATGTGTCAATTGTAAACCAACAATTACATCACATAGTGTTCTAGTGACGGGTGACCATAGGATGCATCAACTTTACGCACTGCATGATAATTTTCCTATACAATTAATAATGTATTTGAAGATTTCTGTCTTCTGGGTTGTTGAGCCGTGTAGTCTGTTCGATGTTAACCAACGTTTCAGAGGTCATACTGCCTCCATCATCAGGGCGATGACAGAGGCAGTATGACCTCTGAAACGCTGGTAAACATCTACCATACTACACAGCGCAACAACCCAGAAGACAGAAATCTTCATTCCATGCAACTGAAGTTACAGAGGTAGCATCTCCAGATAAATCACACAGCCTTCCAGCCTGATCTGTGCTTGCAGAAAAAAGATATGCGCAAGTTCCTAATCTCACGCTTAAAACATTCTCTGACGACCAGTCAATAAGATTGAGGTAGAAGTCATCTTGGAGATCAGTAAAGCAATTCCTATACAGGCCAATGATGGCACTTAAGGGAAAAATTCTCAACCTCAACACTAGAAGGGGTGAGTAGTTGGAAAGAACCCCGTTAGCCACTGGGGATGAGGCTGGGTGGGTCCTAGAGACAGTCCGTACGCAGAGGCTAGAAAAAAATCCTCTGCCCCTCTTGGGGATTAAACTCTGATCTTCTGGCCAGTAACCAGTCACTATACTGACTGAGCTACTTGACTCACAATGAATTCTGCAGGTACTAGTAGAATAAAACCAACATTCAAGAAACATAACTGAAGACTTCTGCAAGACAGGGTGATTTTTCTTAATAAGTAAGACTTTATGGATTTATTTCAAGAACTCCCATATGTGACACAAAAAATGTTGCAACAACACAACATAAATACTGTACACCAATATCTATTTGGTATGACATGAAAAGTGCATGTAAAGCAAACTTTCTTCCAATGCAGATTCAACTGTGTGTGTGAAAATAAAATAAAACAATTATTTGCAAAAGACAGAAAATTTTTATTATATAGAGTCAGCCGGACACCCTGCAGTAGCACACAAAATTCCACTGCTCCCGCTAATGGCGTATCTGACGGGACAGAGAGCAATGTCTAACTTTGTTATAATATTTTATTTTAAAAACTGCCATTCCAGTATTTGATTTTTATGAATTTATTGTTTAGTTACTTGACATTCCACACCTGAGTCCCCAAATCCCCAGTAATTACTTGGGGCCTAAGTACATTCTCACAGCAATTATATGTTTGCATTGCCAAAATCCTAAGTATACACTTGTTGAGTGCAGGCAAATAGAAAAATTGTTACTGATTTGCAATCTGTTGCAGTAAGATCAAATTAATTTTCACATTAAAACTTGAAACATTGACGCTTCTACTGGTCTACTTCATTCCTTCATATGTTCAGACAAGACATACACAGAATCTTCATGGCCTTCAAAACAGACGTTTGATAAAATTTATCTTTTCGAAACAATCTACTGATGAACCAAATACAGTAACAAACTGTTGTAAACCTTGCACCATCCACCTCACATAAGAGCGTTAACTAAAAATTGTGCACTCTCAAATATAATTTTCTTCTTCATCTTCCGTCTCGATCCATCCTCATGATTTCTCTAATCCTTTCGTTTCTCACTCTCTCTCTTCTGGAAATTCCAGCCGCTCTCCTTAGGAAATCCATTTCCATTATTCTCAACTTATTTTTTTGCTGTTCCGAGAGTTGCCAAATTTCTGCTCCATAAAGAGTCACGCTTTGTATCATCATTTTACATATTCTCTCTTTCGTTCTTTTTGTGATATTTTTGTCCCATAATATTGGGTTTAGGGCTCCTATGAGTCTCCTTCCTTGTTTTATTCTTTCCTCTGTTTCAATTCCATACATCCCTTGGTCCCCTATCATCGCTCCTAGATATTTAATCTTTTCTGTCCTCTTTATTACTTCTCCAGTTTCCATTATCAGTGCGTCATTAGTATTTCCTAAATTCCAATACATTGTCTTATCTAAATTTAAAGCTAATCCCCAGATTTCATATTCTTCTTTTACTTTCCTCATCATAAATTCCAGGTCTTCTTCTGTTTGTGCTATTATCACTTGCTCATCGGCAAATTGTAGTGTATACATTGTTGTATATTCGTCCAATGGTATACCCATTCCCTTACACCTTTTTTTCTTAAATTGTAATTTTAAATAAAATCGAATATTGTCCGCGAGGCACGAGAGTAGACATGGCCTTGTCAGCCGTTGCTTGTGTGCCAAGGTGAAAGTGGGTTCTGCGCATGCGCCGATGTATTCCTTACCTAAGTTCATTGTGCTATCAGTACATTAGCTCATGACATACTGCCTGTATAAACTGCGGGTGTTTTTCGGTCTGCTAGTAGCACAGAATTCTACCCCACTTCCCTCAAATATATCAGGTCTACTCTCGTGCCTCGCGGACTATAGTTATGCTACTGCAGTCCAGTATGAGAATGCATAATGTCAAAAACAAACTACAAATATATGTGCTTTTATATTTCAGTACTGTTCAAAGTTTTGAGCAAATCAGTAACTGAAACAAGATCCATCCCATCATTAATTATGATAATCTTGGTTCATTTCTTAAATATTAGATTCAACTACTGTTAACTTGTTTGAAAAGATTAAATAATTCAAAGCATCCCTGTCTCTACTTGTCAAACTACTTTACTCACAGTACCTGTTCCTCTTGTTTAATACTTCTACATTCACATATTGATAGTAGTGGTGATTGTAAGCGGAGAATGAAAAAGTGGTAGAACGATTTCCAGGAATAAAGGAGATACTTAGGAAACCTGCCACACTGTGGCATCACAGAAGTTGAAAAATGGCTGCAAGGAATAAAACACTCATTTAACTTCAAATATATTTAAATAATACATTATGCAATATGTACAAAAGAAATAACTTTAATCATCATGTCCTAAGTGTACATCCAAACACAACCTGTTGGTGATGGAAGAATAGAGAGACTGGTAATAATCAAAACACACACAATTAACTTTAAAGTATGACTGCATTAAGTTCTTGCTTAAATCATGAGGATACAAAATAGCATTTACGAGGTGAAACATATTTACTTCAAATGAAGAGATTTTTGGAAAACCAAGAAAGTTAAATATTCTTAACTAGATTTAAAGTACCACATTTTCCCCAAGCATAGATAATACACCTCTAGAATAGCACATATTTTCTTCTGTTGTTTGGTGATAATATATAAATTCTTAAATACAGTACACATTATTACTGTGGAAACAACATGACAGTACGAAATTCAAATGTTTAGAAACAAGACCACATGGCCTTGCAAATATGGAACATGTTAATTCTTCTTGCCATCATTAACATCAATCACAAAGAAAGGTAAATAATACAAGCATCACTAAACAGAAATTCTAATGGAAGTCTGTAAAAACACTAAGTTCGTAAAATGTACAGCTACTCGGTATTTGTGCTATGGGCCAATTGACGTAGCAAAGGAATGCAAATATTTATTTTGTATTTTATGGAGAGCTGGAACGTAAATAGGGAGTTGCTGAGATAGTGCCATGAAAATGTTTTCTACAACATGCATATTAAAAGTAGCTCACATTTTCATCTTAAATGTAATAAGAAAGAAATATAGAGAAATAACCGTAGCTTTCTTTAACAACGAAGAAGAAAAGTATCCAGTAACACACGAATGGTCTGCATAAAATTATGATAGAGGATGTTTACTTATTATTCAATTGTGATTTATTATAAATACAGAATATGAATGAATGTGATTATATAGTCAATGCACTGTAGACAAAAAAATTCCTTATGAACAGTGGTTCAACTAGTTCCTTTTCATGGAGTAGGATAAAACCAATTATCCCATAATAGAATAAACCAACAAATCTTAACTGAATGCATGAAAAGTGAACTTAAAGAACAGTAGTATTTGCAGAAAATAATTTTTAAGCAACAAATGTTGACAATTATTTTTAATTTTACAAACAGAATGTAACTAACCTATGAACACAAAAAATGCAACATTACAATCACCACACAGTAAATCATTAAAATACTTCCTGCAAAAATGAAACACCACTTCTTCTGGCTTGAGAACTTAACATCTATAAGGAAAATAGACACAAAACCATGACAGCAGGAACTACTAATGTACACATCACTACTGAATTCAACCATGAAAATTTTCCATACATTATAAACATCATTACTTTATGGCTCTAATGAGACATTACTAAACTTACCTCTCTACTTTCCAGATGAAATCTCTAGCAGATAATTTATGTATTAATTGCAATTTTGATTCTTATCAAAGCAGACTAAGTTACCACTAAGTAAATTTCACATGCAAAATCACAAGTAAATCTTGAGCATGAGTCATCATATAAAAATCAGCTAAAGAATTTGGGACTACCAACATATACTTGTTATATAAATGCCATGAACACATCATGGGCAGAAGAGTGAAGCTGTGATGCAGTAATTAGTACAATAGGTGCACAAGATTAATTCAATTAGTTAAGGATATTGTAATACTGTATGATAATAATTCAGGCTCATTTCAAAGCCATGTATCTTAAAATTTCTGGCAAATTACTAAACAGTTCAATCCATGAACCAATACTCTAACGGCCTACTGTTGTTTCTGAGAATCAGTTATGACCAGCAAGATACAATCAAATAAGAATAAATGAGTACACATATAGATAATTAAATGTTTGTAGATCAGTAGTGACAATCTAAGCTTTAAACAAAGTTTCCCTTCTTATTTGCAGTGTTAACAGTGAAGCTCGGTTCCCCAAGGAACTGACCATCTGGAGTCACAGATCTGTATCTGCCTCACAGGTTCTCTTTAATCCTATCACACATGAAAAAATTCAGTTTTACGACACAAAGCTCTACTGGTAACAAAGTTACCACTATCCTTGAGTTTTACTTTAGGTTTTGACCACTTATAAGAATATCCATCATCAATTCTGAAGAGTTAACACAAACTGTAAACAAATAGTTCCAGAATGCCTGTTTCCTTGTTTATTCACATTCTGATACACAATCAACAGATTAAAGGAAACAATTTATAAACTGACAGTGGCCAAACCAATGCCAATGGGAGACCTGTATGTCAGTTACCTCACTCCGGGATATCTGGACTAGTTCACTCATTTCAGTTGTTCACGTCTATGCTTCTGCACTCTCCACCCATTCTGCCAAACCTTGTGAAACCAACTCCTGATTTATAAGCACCACCTGTGAGAAAAAAATTGATATATTATCCCTTTCTTCATTACACCTTCCCCCACCACCTTCTAATTCCAAAACTATGAAAAGGATGAGGTATTTCCTTCTCTTGCTCTGTAACGTACACTTGTCTACTGTGACAATTATAGAAACTACACTACATGTTTTCTTCTCATGAACTCTTACCTGAGAACCATGAATGGCGTAGAGATAAACCAATGGCATACTATCCTCAGCATACCCACACACCTGAGCCTGAAGGACTTGTCCCTGTGTTAGTTCTTCCATGCTATCAACAGCCTCTTTGCTCCATTCTGCCTCATGCCCTGCATAATAAATAAAAGACATAATGGTGCTTTCTCATATTTGTAAAACTTCTTCTGTTATGTAAGATTTGAGGTTTTCACAGCGGTGAGTATGAAGATTTCTGTCTTCTGGGTTGTTGCGCTGTGTAGTCTGGTAGATGTTTACCAATGTTTCAGAGGTCATACTGCCGCCGTCATCAGGGCTATGAATATGCCAATTGGGTGGGTGGAGCTAGGTTTATAGAAGCCGGTCCAGCTCCTATAAACCTAGCCCCACCCACCCAATTGGCATATTCATAGCCCTGATGACGGCGGCAGTATGACCTCTGAAACATTGGTAAACATCGACGAGATTACACAGCGCAACAACCCACAAGACAGAAATCTTCTTTTGTTAAGTGTATGCAATTAAATACCGCTACAGTAATATCAGTAGACCTGAAAAATGGATTTACTGAAACATAAAATTAGTTCTATAACAATAACTACTAAAAATGAGCAGTATCATAATCATCTTCCCTGATTTCTTACTCCAGTATGTCTGTATTCATTACTTGTTTGGGAAGTCAATTTCTCTTAGCATTTTACTAATGTGGCAGATCCATTTTTTTCTGTAGACCATAATCTTGATCCATGCAGAATCAACTAAAATTAACAGATCCAGAAACGTATGTAGTATGGCAGCAACAATAATTCCTAATGTATCAATTTAATGAACCTTTGTATGTTCACTAAAGCACATTTCACGTACAAAAATTTTATATTGTCTGTCATATATTGTTATCACCAATCAGATATTTAGTTCTCTTTATATTCAAATTTCAATAAAATTGGAAAAATAAATTATCACTACAGTATTGCTGATTTCATGATCATCAATATCAGTGTTCAGTGCTGTCCTTGAAATAACAACAGATAAATTACATATATTGCCAACTGTATATTATATTTGAGAGTTCTTCAATGATCATGATGTTCCCAGCTGAATGCTTAAGTTTACGACTGGCTGACACACAAATGAAGATCTGACAACAGTGTTACATTCTTCTGCCCATGCTATGGTACACGTAGGCAGGACCTGGGATCACCAAATCCCAGCAAGACCATAGCGATGAATCTTAATCATAATAGCTTTTAGCATGTTATCTAGATAAAGGTTTAATCATGATAGGGTTTTTGCATGCAACATGGTATATTAGCTTTCACAATGTACACATTAAACAAATAAAACAGCTACTTGCAATTAACACTGAAATATTTACAAGTGGCTACTTATTTATTTATAAATAAATAACAGTAGCAACATAAAATATTAACACAGGAAGAAGCTTTTAAAAGTTCTATTCTTTTGAAATTAATATGAGACCCAATGCCTAAACCCAAAAGCACAATGTTTACAATCTTGCTGTGATGACTTAATGACTGCTGACAAATGAATCAGTTTTCTTCACAGAATGTCAAAAAGATAAGAGGGAAAACACTAACATGTTGCATCTTCTTATCATTTGTCAGCACAGAAATATTAATTATGTTACAAACTTCAACTTATCTATCTTCATATACAGCAGCTACACAGAAAACTTCAACGGTAAAACTCATTGTAAGTTCTAAAATCTATGCATTATACTGTTATTAATTTCTAAATCCAGTGAACTGTAAAAGCGTACCTCCAAAAGGGATAACATTTGCTAAGTAACACTCTGCTGCCTGGAATGGCAATGTCAAGAAGTCTCCTCGTATCTGGCGCAGAACAGAGCTAGTCACTGTTACGTATCCACCATAGTCCACAAACTTGATATCACAGGCATCTGTTTCTGAATCTACTGCCACTACTTGAGCGCGGTACCATCCACCCATTGCCGGTGCTACACAGATTGAAGTCACTGAAATTTAAAGACATAGCATCTCTCTTCATTATTCTTTAACATTTTTTCAGAACTGAATACATGTACATGTTCAATAACAAACTGAATTAATCACGATCAAACTTTATTTTAACCCTGTCATTGCCACCAGCTATGCTGCTGGCTTACTTCCAAACCATTTTTAACAGACCACCAGCTGTCTGCAGTATTTTATGACCCCCCCCCCCCCCCAAACAGCAATGCACACATTTTCAAGGGATCACAAAAGGTAGCTTCATGCACCATCTACTGATTGCACGTAACTGTCAGAGCATATAGCACTTTGGATAAAGTGCAGGTAAATGCAAAAATAAATGTATTAAGAACATCTAATATACAGAATGTCTGAATGTCACAAGGGATCATGTAAGCATGACCTAAATAGGCAATGCTTTATGGCATCACAATTATAGCAATATATATTTTCAGCATGGCAGTCTCTCGAACTGTTGCAAGAAAACTCTGAAACATGTATGTTATAAGAGGTGGCACAGAGCATGATGACTATGGTCTACAGCATTTCCCAACCTATGGTATGCGAGCCAATGTTGAGCGGTATGCAAACTAAGTGAGAAAATCAAAAGATAATATTAACATAAAAAGTTTTCCCTGAATGCATTTGGTTAGTGGTACATTTCATGTGTTAAATTAGAAATAGTGGTACGCCAGTGAAAAAGGTTGAGAATCCTGGTCTACAGGCCTCAAGAAAGCTGTAAGCAGACAGAGAATTGGTATGAGGAACAAAAAAAAATAGACGTCTTATTCTGAAATTAACGAACACAAAAAAAATACTGGAAATGTACACTTCTTTCAAATGAGAACTTCTAAATAGAATACAAAATTGCAATTTGAGCAAAACACAAATTGCATTGTCATAATGAACAACGTTCTTCTTATAATTTCATTCTTCTTCTTCTTCTGTTTTTTGACCGTTACTTCGGTCTTCCGGTACCTAATATTTTCTTCCATTCTCTATTTTCCCATCCTTCCGGAGGTAGTTTCCACTCTATCATGGTTCTTATAATCCTGTCATTCCATCCTGGTCTCGGTCTTCCTCCCCTCCTTCTCTCTTTTGGTTGCCATTTCATAGTCTTTTTTCGTAACCTTTCCTCCTCCATCTTTTGCACGTGTCTGTACCAAATCAGTTGTCTTTTCTCTATATCCTCAATTATATCTCGATCCATCCTCATGATTTCTCTAATCCTTTCGTTTCTCACTCTCTCTCTTCTGGAAATTCCAGCCGCTCTTCTAGGAAATCCATTTCCATTATTCTCAACTTATTTTTTTTTTGTTCCAAGAGTTGCCAAATTTATACTCCATAAAGAACCACACTTTGTATCATCGTTTTATATATAATTTAATTTTTGGATATCTGTTCAGTACATTCACAGGAACTATGCTAAATATACTACTACTACTACTACTACTATGGCGTAACAGCCCAAAATCGAGCCCTAGCCTCCTCATGCTAAATATAAGGGTTGTTCAAATTAAATCTGTTCGCCGTGTTGCTAGCAAACATGACCAGTCACAAATGACTGCTTGGCTGTGTGCATGATACAAGAGTAGTCAAACACAACCTGTGCAACAGAATGGGTTATTCACAGGAAATGGGAACAGTGATATGGTCAAATACCAGTGTTCCACACATAGAATCCACCCAAACATGGTCAATGATGTCATTCAGTTTCATTCTGCTGAGGGTTGTCAACCGGCTGAAACCCAGAATCCGTATTATGTATGGCAATGTGGGTATTTCAAAAGCAATGGCATCAGAAGTTCCATTCAGGGTGGCAGGGAATAGATGATGAGGCATGGCCCGAACAGGCCCATGTCATCACAAGAATGAGTATACTGTGAAACTGAGGAAGCCCACTGTCACCATGTTTGGTCCTCTCAAGAAAAGTACTAACGGGTTCAGGTCAGGCAGTGATTTCAAGGCCATGGTGGTGCAATGGGTCCAAAAGCCAACGAAGTTCTTTGCAATGGATCCATCTGATGATGTATCAATGGTACGCCTGCCTCAACTTCCACGGGGACTATTTTTACTGGCTTCTACTTATTTTCCCAAGTGTAGTAATGTTGCTCACATTTTAGTACTGCGCTTGCAAAGAACCAACAAAAGATGAAAGGATCATTCATTATACTGTTAAATATCCCAAGTGCAATGCCGTAAACAGCAATACAAACAATATTCATCACCCTGATGATGGAGGCAGTATGACCTCTGAAACGTTGGTTAACATCGACCAGACTACACAGCGCAACAACCCAGAAGACAGAAATCCTCAATACAAACAACTCTGTCATTCTGAAAAGCCAGAAAATCCTTAAATCTTGAAACTAATTGAATTTATTAAATTACTTAATCCATCTTTTGCTCTTATTATAACAACTTAGAAACAAAATTAAGAAACAAATGAGCAACATTTCAAAATTCCTTTATTTTGATAAAGGTTTATAATATGTATATTTGAGAAGAGATACCTCAGTGAGTATAATGACTATGTTACATTTGTTGAACTGACATTTTGGTATGTTTGCTGACAGGACTTATTTTCAAATGAGGTAAGATATATAAATTACTTACGTTGAATTGGTGTTGGAAGTGGAGGTGCAGCAGGTTCACTGTAGCACACGTTCATGCAAGCATCCTGGCGGATGAGCGCAGGAAACGTCGGGTGCGTTGGCTGCTGCAGGAAAAAGTGTGCAGGTGACACGAGACTTGACAAGATCACATCATTGTTGACTCCCTCGACCAATGGAAGCTGCAGAGTTTCTGGAATAAGTGGGAATGTGGGCACAGGAGGCAGGAAGCTCACCTGCTCCAGGGACACATTTGGGTAGCGCTTTGGTGGAAACCTTTGTCGAATCATTTCCAATGCACTCTCTATGTCTGCCTGGGTTCCTAAACAAAATGTAAGATAACACATTTCATTAATAATGAACAGCAACGATGCAGCAATCATATGCATGATTCAAGACTTTTAATCAGAAAAGGGGTAAAATAGGAGTATATTTTTTTAATTCATTCATTTATCATATATTAAAATTACATAGTCCACGTCAAGAAACATGCATTCATTAATAGCATAATTCATCTCATAATTCATGCCACATCTCAAATTCTGAACAATGTACAGAAAGCAGCAACTAGTAAGGGTCCAAAGGATGCCAAACCACTTTCAAAAACAATTTAAGAAACACCCTAAGAAATAGAATTAACAACAAATATGATAATAAAATGTATTTAAATTGAGTCACTAAAGCAAAATAAATATTAAATCACTAAATAAGCTAAAATAGTATCACTTTATGAACAATTTTCAGTTTCTCTGCTAGCAACTAGTTACAATGGGACCAGGCTTCTATTTCAGCTCTGTTGTAATTCTATACAATGTAAGGAAATCCATAATTCATACCTTCTACAGCACATATTTTGAGCTTCTGGGTGTCTGGATGCCTCTTTATGAAAATGCTGGCATTTGTTTTTTCCTTAATTTGATGGACAAAGCATCCATGACGGCCTATAAGACGACCTACCAAATGCTGTGGTAGGACAAACTCATAAACTGATGGTAAGGGAGCGTCACCAGACAGAGAACTTCCACTGGCTGGCGTGCGTGAAGGTGGTGTTGCCACATCACTGCAGCCTTTACCACTGTCACTCGAACCCTGCAGAAATGTAATTTAAATGAAGTTACTGTCTGACCCCCACTAGAATGGCAAGTCCATTCCTATTAAGAGAATTCAGCCCCTGCTCCAAAAGTAATTGAAATGTGTGAAAAAGAATGCAGACAACATTAAATTAAGCCAAGGAAAATATCAGAAGCATGATTCATAGTAGAAGCACATGATTTTCAAGTTTAATCCAATTTCATCCCTTTGAATAAATCAAAATTCAGGTTTTATATTGATGTAACCAGTAAAATTCTTGGGGGGGGGGAATCTTTATACACCTCAAGAAGTTACTATGAACAAAATCCAGTTTGCTTTGCTTTGAAGATTTTGAACAGCGCACTCATAGAGGAAATATTTCAATTGAGTGGACATCGTGGAAAGTGTTAACATAATGTGGTTTATATATAAAGAATTATGTGTAATAATGTTTGAAAAAATATTAATATAAAATCTCCCAGTAATAATTCTAGATGTCAAACATTTTTTGGATGGACCAAATGTAATGTCATGGGTGAACTAAAGTGAGAGACAAGAGAAGCAAGGAAGGGTGAGTACAGCTGATGAGAAATGTGGGATTGGAGGGGAATAAAGGAGAAAGAAGGTAAGGATAAAAAAGTGCAAAAGGGATAAATGAAGAGAAAAGGAGGGCAATTAAGATACATAATACATCATTCCCCATCTAATTTCAACAAAACTTACACATGAGTATGTTAGTTAGTTAGCTAGAGAGAGAGAGAGAGAGAGAGAGTGAGAGAGAGAGAGGACAGTCTGCTACAAGAACATACAAAAGTATATTTCATGTGTAATTTTTAGATACATCAGAACAGTAGGAACCAAGAAAATACTTTTGAATGAAGAAATCAACCTTTTAAGAATCTTTTTGTATTCTGTAGTCAGTATAAATAAAAATAAGTACACATATGTTGGACTACATAAATTTAAATTATTTTCCAATATTATTACCCTCTTTTGGAAATGGTACTGGTACGCAATTTCATGAAAACAGGTAAAACAATTTTTAATTCTTGAAGATCACAAGTTCTGAAAATTACATGCAATAACTTAAGGGAATTAAATAATCAGCATAATTATTCCTGTGTATTTACCTAGCTTGTATCTCAACTCATACATGAATATCTATTTACAGAAATAAACTTAGTTACATAGTATAAGAATTATGATGTCATCTTATCAAGCCATAAATACTCTGATAATTAATAATTAAATATGTATGAATACACATGTAGTAAACCATTTTCCTTCTACAGAAGGTAATATGTATCCCATTTGTAGTTCACAGTAACTACACTCAAATGATCAAAGATGAATGACATGTCCATAATTTCAATTTTTTACATGTAACTTTAGAAAGTCAATATTAACAAACAGCATCAAGCACCATATGAAGACCTCTATAAACATCTCTTTCTTGCATCACTAAACACAGTGGGAAATATAGAAACTCAAATGCTTAGTCTCTTGGGATGGGATCAAATATTGATTAAAACTGAAAGTACATTTTCCAAAGCATAAGACTATTATTTACAAAGTGTGGAAATACGTCTCAAAAGTTGTAATAATTCTCATTACAAATACCTGAGTATGAAACAGATATGAGAACATGATTAGCCAAGATATCTTATTCCTTGCTGTATATTGTGTGCCCGTAAAGTACCCAAGGCATTAGAAGGACAACTTTTTCAGAAATGCTTGACAATCACCATGGCAGATAATGGTGATGACAACGGTACTGGTGAGGACAGTGAAATGATGATGATACCAGTAATGCAGAATCCCACTAGGTATTTGGATTTCTGAAATACTCTTTCTGAAACCAAGAAATGTTTGTAACAAAATTCTGAACTCCAACAGTGAAGATGTACATTCCCTGCTTTTACAATAGTGTTTTCCCCAGAATATGGGTAACTGAATCTGTCACTGGACCCAGTGAATGAGGTTAGCTCTTTCTATCGAATCCAACTGAGTAGATGCTCCTCTCCCCCTTTCTAACCTCAGAACGGAAGCGGATACAGCTTCTGAAAAACAGCGTTCTTTTAGAAAACCAGATGATGGACAAGTCCAAGAATTTAGTAATTCAGATTGTAACACACCATCATCAGTACTGTATACAAAATTGAGTTATGTCAATGTTGTTCTGTCAGCACAGTTTGTTTCATATCCAGATTTTTGTCTAGCAATGATCCTTACTGACCAGGTAATGTATATTCTGTCTACTTGAAACTGTTCTCCTGAAAACTTGCACTTGACATTTTCTGCAACACTTTCTAGCAGACACATATTTGAAAAAGAGCTGCAACAAACACACACTGGTGAATATTATTCCACAGCTGAGGCATGTGCAGCACTAAATGCCTGATTGAAAAACATATTAACAGATGCAGATAGGAGAGATGATTCATGGTGAAAGAAAACATCACCGATTCCTACCCATGCAGCAAGTTGTGGCCGGACCAGCCATCACTCAGTCGTGGACATCTGAGATAAATGGAACATGGTAGACCCTGTACAAACTACCTATATCATAATCAATACTGTTTTTAAATTTATAATGCACACAGCTTTCATAATTCAACAAATTTAGCAATTGCATAAACTTACAACAAAAAATTATTTTAACTTCCTTCACTCCCCAAAATATTACTGACGACCTATTTTATCGCCATATTATTTGGCCCCCTTGCCAACAAAACTGCATCAAGCAGACGATATTTGGAATTCTGATTCCTGCAACAGTTACTATACAGGCATACCTCAGAGATATTGTGGGTTCAGTTCCAGACCACCGCAATAAAGCGAGTCACACAATTTTTTTGGTTTCCCAGTGCATACACTATACTGTAGTCTATTAAGTGTGCAACAGCATTATGTCTAAAAAAACAATGTACATACCTTAATTAAAAAATACTTCATTGCTAAAAATGTGACACAAGACACACGAAGTGAGCATATGCTGTTGGAAAAATGGCGCCGATAGACTTGCTCGATGTAGGGTTGCCACAAACCTTCAATTTGTAAAAAAAATCTGCGAAACGAAATAAAACGAGGCATGCCTGCACATCTGTAGTATAAATTAGTCCTTATGTTGCCAATTTAATGATTGTACCAATTTTGCTCTGATTACATTTACCCTCAACAATTAATGTATTCCTAGCTTATGTTAATGATATTTGGAAAAACATTGATTCAAATATATGGCTTTTCGCTGATGATTGTATAGTATACAGGAAAATAATGGATAGTAGTGACATTGATAAGTTACAGACAGATATGAATAGATTATGGGAATGGGCGGTAGAAAATGAAATGAAGATAAATCCAGGTAAAAGTAAAGCAGTCAGCTTCAATAGAGCTAGGGTGAAGGATAAGCTGAGTTACTTTTTTGGGGATCAATTAATTCCAGAGGCAAATAGCTTTAAGTACTTAGGAATACTTATTCGCAGTGATCTGAGCTGGGCAGATCATGTAAATTATACACTAATTAAAGCATGGAAGGCTCTCCATTTCGTAATGCGTATACTAAAAAAGGGAAATAACAATACGAAACGTTTAGCTTATACGTCGCTAGTGAGACCGATACTTGAATATGGAGCTGTGTGTTGGGACCCTTACAGGGAAGGACAGGTAAGAGCACTAAATCGGGTGCAGAAGAGAGCGGCTAAATTTGCTAATTTCACGAACGAATCTGGTTGGGAAACATTGGCACAGCGTAGATTGATAGCCCGAATGTGCGCCCTTTTCAAAGCATACACGGGGGGCCGGGCTTGGAAAATGATAGAGGATAGATTATTAAAGCCATGCTACCTGGGCAGGGACGATCATACTCGGAAAATTAGGACTAGGAAACAAAGAACGGATGTAGGCAAATATTCCTTTGTAAATAGGACCATAAGAAGCTGGAACCAATTACCTCCAGGCGTGCTAGAGTCTTTCCCCTGTAAATTAGGCACCTTTAGAAAGAGGGTCAGAAAAGTAGTTACAAGCTAAGGGTTATTAAGTTGGGAATAAATGGTGATAAGTGAAGTGAAGTGTCTTAGTCTCCAAGTGATGAAGGGCTGTAGTTCTTTGGGATAAAATTTTCATGTACTGAGAGCGGACTTTATATTCCACTCTTAAGTATTGTGATTAATTAGTGGATGTGTGTTTTTTTATTGTGTCAGATGTTTTATTTTGAGTGTGGTATGTTGTATTGTTGTGTCTCATTGTATTGTTGTGTGAGTGCATCAGTTCATGACGTTTGTAATACATTACAGTTATTGTCTTATGTCTAGGTGGTATTAAGTTCTTTTTTTTAAGTTAAGTACTTGAGGTTGGATGGTTTTGTAATTTATGAGTTGGTTGATTTTGAGTGGGATGTGTTGTTTTTGTTGTGTCCTTTTTTATTGTTTTGTTCTGTCTCTGTGTTGATGTATCTCATTGTATGTTGTGTCTTATGGTTTTTGTTGTGTCCTTTGTTTATTGTTTTGTTGTGTCTCATTGTGTTGATGTATCCCATTGTTTGTGTAATATACATATATAAAGCTGTTTTCTTTTCAGGACAGGAAATCTGATCACTGACACTTAAACAGTTGAACGAAACTGCGTTCTTCATTAAGTGCAGTGGTATTATAACATTGAAAATGTATAAATATAATCGGCGTGTACAAGTATTAAACATTACCTCACTCTGTGCATCAGAACAGCTGCTTATGGAAGGACTGGCGAGCATTACATCAGCCGGACTGTGATTGGCAGAGTCTCTCTCAGTTCTCTGATGTTTAGAGACCACAGCAAATGTCCCAGCCATTGCCCCATTTCCTGACATACCATCTGCATCAGATGATGCCTCTCCCTTCACATTTTCATTCAACTCCAGGGATGACAATGTGCATTCAAGTGGCACAGATTCACTTCCTTCAACAGTCACCTCTCCTGCAGACTTCTTGGAATCCTCTTCTTCATGTGCAAGTTTCTCCATTGTTAAGGTTTCTATACTTGATTTACGAGTTACAATGGTTGTGGCCACTGAAAAACTATCAACACTACTTACGCTCTCATTGTCTTCTGGCTCCTCCATGTCTTCAACAACTGAAGAGACTTTTGTATCAATTGCTAACTGAATTGAATCAATGCTTTTCTCAAAACTTTCGACAAATTTCAAGTCATCCGAAATGTTTATGTTAAGAGGTAAAACCTGTGCTTCATCTTCACTGTCCTCACACCCCACACTTGTGTCTTTGTTATCCTGTTGTATCCTGATGTCTGATATTTGTAACCTTCTCGAGATTTCTTCACTACTTATTATGTTCATTGGTAAAGCCTCCACTACTCCTCCAACACTGTTTTGTTCCTCTGCAGTCCTCTCAAGTGGCTCTCTTGTGGCTAAAACATGAACTTCAGGCAATGTCTGAGAAGACTCTGATGACACTTGAGGAGAAATGTTTGTAGCTACACTAGTAGTCAACTTTTCATGCACCTCCTTCTCAACTTGTGCTACAGATGAATCTGTATCACTAATCTTATCTGTTAAGTGCTCTGGGCTCTCCAGGCCATTACAAATTGAACCTTCCAACATTGCTATCTTGGCCTCCTCTTTCATAACTGACTTAACTGGGATTTTCTGCACACAGACTAACTTATCAACAGGAAACTCCACAGCGCTCATCTCTTGAATCTCTTTCTTGATGTCAATTTCATTCATATCTGAATCCTCACAATTGCCGACTTCACCAGGCACACCAGTAAAGACACTAAGAGCTGTCTCGGTCAGAACCCTCTCCTTGAGCACTAGCTCCAAGCTCTGTTGGTGTGAAGCCTCAAGTGTTGTTTCTTCCTTCACTGCAGGTCCCTTGGGTTTGTCAATTTTTATCTCTTTATCACCACAGACAATAGTAACTGTCTCACGCAGATCTTTACCGGTCTGTTGTCTCTCTGCAGGTAGAGATGCTGTGATGGACACCTGAAGATCTTCTACTTGCTGAGATTTATCTCCAGATGTGCTACCTGTATCCTCTGTTGTTCCCCCAGGGTCACTTCGAAATGATGTGCCCCGCTTCCTGTGATACCATAACAAGCTGAGCAAAAAAGCAAGAGTTGGCAGAGACCATACCAGCAGCTGACGTGATGAATTGGGAACCATAATGCCCCTCCACCTTTACTGTTGCCTCCACAGCAGTTCTGAACCTGTAAAGAAGGAGAAGAAAAACATAAATAACAGTGAACCAAAATCATAATGTGTTTCAACAGACACGGCACTGAGAAATACAAAGTTGAAATGTGTACATAAAATTATAACAGAAAACAGATAAATAAAGATATAAAGTAATAGGAATGCAACACTGCAAAGAAAGAAAGAAAGAAAGAGAGAGAGAGAGAGAGAGAGAGAGAGAGAAGGAAGAAGTCACAATGAAAGGTCAAATCCAAGCTCATCTGTTTTTTGTAATCAAATGAAGCATACATTATGAATTTATTCCTTCAAAATACACAGGAAACTAGGCATTCTACTTTCAACTTCTGAAATGTTTATGGCAGCATATTATGCAAATGAGACCAAATCTTCGCTAAGGCTAGTGTATTTTGCATATGCATTCACACAAAATATTTCTGGTAAAGCAGTTTCTGGACAAAAAATTAACACAAGTATTGGAACAGCCACTGCCCTCACCAAACTTAACCTTGTGTGGCTTTTCCACATTCATAACTTTGTATGTCTCCTTTACGTGAATCACTTTGAACACATTCAGTGCAATGTGCAGCAAAGAAATTTTGAAAAGTTGTTTCCAGTAATGTTACACACGCACTGGGAAATGTAGTAAGTCACGTAGTCAGTAATTAAGGTGACCACGCTCAATACAGTTTAGTCACTATATGTGCATACATCTGCACACACATTTACAAAATCAGTCTGGTTATTAAGCTCAGACCACTTGCATTTGCAATCAAATATTTTATTAATAGGACATATTTAATAAATATTAAGAAAATCGAGAACACAGGCAGAAGTACTTTGGGGGGCTGAAATGAGTGTAGAAAGTAAATGTAAGTAAAGTAAAGTTTGTCCCACTATACGCCATGTAGGCGCTTGGGGTGAGAGGAGGTATAGCTCCTCTCTTTCTTGACCTCGGCACTAGATGGGGGTGAGTGGTCAGCATCACGTCCCAGCCATGCTTTACCCCCGGAAAAGGACCCCGGTTCCCATTGTAGAGGAGGCCCCCGTCGGGGATTGAACCCCGGTCGTCCAGCCCATAGCTAGTCACTATACTGACTGAGGTATCCCGGCTCATGCAAAGTAAATGTAGAAATACATTTTCTACAATAATAAT